ACTTTGCCAGCCGCCCGAGCGTCCGCCTGCGCATAGCCTTGCAGGCGCTCTCGCCCTGCACTGCTGCCCTCGGCGCAAGCCGAACTGCCGAGGCGGCACAACCTTCGCCACACTCTTCAGCGCCGTCGTTCGCTATTAGTTGCGCGGCTTGCTGAGGCGCTACGCATCGCTGCGCACCTGCGTGCTATCGACTAGCGTTGCAGCTGCAGTTCGTTTCGCCGCTTACGCTGTCGTCAGCGCTCGCGTGCTGCACAGCGTGCACTTCGCGCTTGTTATTACGCGCAAGCCTCCTGGACGAGAGTAATAGATTTAGCAAAAATTTTGCGCAAAAGGCGCTGCCATTGGCAAAACGCACAGGATGCTCTGCACTTACTGCAATTGAGTTTTTTTTTGCGAATCAAGTTAATTTGGAATGGCTGCTACATTGCGCAGGTCGAGCGCGTCTTTCATGAAAGCGACTACCTGCGTGAGCAAAGGACTTCCCGCAGCGCGCGCGGAAAGCGGCACGTCGCCAAAGTACGCGGCGCGCAGTTCGCGCTGCAGCTGCTGCTGAGTCGTGGCGGGCGCTGCGCACCGCAGCGCGGCGTACGCGCGTTCCACGCGCGCGGCGCGGTTGACCATGGCGCTCTCGGCGGCCGCACTGTGCGCGGCAGCTTTGAGTCCCGAGCGATACGCGTTGCGCGAGTCCAGCGTGTCAGCCGTTAGGTGCGCGGAAAGACTCGCGGGCCGAAACTGCTCGGGCACTTCGAGCGTCAGGTCGAGCAGACAATTCTGACATACGAAGAGTAGCTCTGCGCACGCAAAGCAAATCAGCGTGGAGCAGCGGTACGCGGAGCGCGCCTGCTTCCAGAAGTACGCCTCGATGTCGCCGCGGCAGTAGATGCACTTGTTTTCCGGCGTTCTGCGCACGAGTTTCGCAGACCCTGCACCCGCGGGCGCGCAGCTGCGGCAGACGCGCAGCGGCAAGTGGTCTTCGGCCATGCCTGGCAATTTGCGAAATTAGCTCTCATTTAATTTCATGATTTCCACAAAGTCCTCGTAGCTGAGTTTGTCTTCGCAGCCAACGGCAAGCAGCAAGCTGTGCGCCTCTGCGGTCGGCAGCCCGTTGAAGCTGATTGAGAGCACTGTGTCGAGGTCGTGTTCGCTGATGAAGCCGTCTCTGTCGATGTCGAAAACTTTGAACGCGTTTTGGCAGACGATCGGCTGCACGTAAAAGCGCTTGTCGAGGCACGCCGCAATGAACTCAGTGTAGTCGACCACGTTGTTGCAGTCGAGGTCCACTGCGCCGATGGTCTCGCTGATCTCCGGCGTGATCTCGACACCCATTTCGCGCAACGAATTCTCGAGCTCGTCGCGCGTGAGCATGCCCGTCGAGCGCGAGTCCATGCGCGTGTAGAGGTTGTGCAGCGCGAGGATCTCGCTCTCGCTGAGCTGGTAGGCGATCGCGACGAGCGCGAGTTTTTTGATCGGGTTCGCCTTCGCGAAAATGCGGAACTTGTTCACGAGCTCGCTGCCGAGCCGGCTGGTCACGTTCGCGTCGCACGTCAAGAAGCCCGGCGAGTGGTAGTACAAAATCCACTGGTGCTTCAGCGCCTCAGCGGCAGTGATCCGCTTGCTCGGATCCATCGTCAGCAGTCGGCGCACGAGGTCCTTCGCGGGCGCGCTGACTTTTTTCCAGGAACGGCCGTTCATCGAGTAAACGCCTTTCTTCACTTTCTCGAGAATTTCTTTGTTGTTTTTGCCCTGGAACGGAGGGTAGCCGCACAGCAAAATGTACATGACCACGCCCGCGCTCCAAAGGTCGCAAATCTTCGTGTAGTTCCCGAACAGCACCTCCGGCGCGACGTAGTACGGTGTGCCGACCACGCTGTTGAAGACCTGGTGCTGGTTGCACTGCGCCGCGAAGCCCCAGTCGATCATCTTGATGGGGGAAGTCGGCGAGTCGTCCGCGAACAGAATGTTCTCGGGCTTAATGTCGCGGTGCATTATGTTCAGCTTGTGGCAGTACGCGATCGCGCTGAAGACCTGCTTCATGATGATGTACGTGTTGCGCTCTGACATCGTGCCAATCTTGATGATGCGGTCGAACAGCTCGCCGCCGGAACATAATTCCATTACAAAGTACAGGTTCACCTCGTCCTCGAACACGTTGTAGAGCCGGATGATGCACGGGTGGTCCATTTTCTGCATGATCAAAATCTCACGCTTCAGCCGCACGATGTTGTCAATCTTCGGCTTGTAAATTGTTTTGATCGCGCGAGTCTGCCCCGTCGCAACCTCCACCGCCTTCGTCACCGCGCCGTACGAGCCTTTGCCCAGCTCGTTTTTGCTCGACTCCAGAATCTTGTAGTAGTTCTTGAGCGTGCTGCCGTCAATCACGGCTTCGCGCACGATCGAGCTGCGCGTCAGACTCAGTCGCCGGCTTTTCTCGCCCGTCTCGTCGCGTGCGCCGCCCGCCGGCACTTGTAGCGTGCTCGCACCCTTCGGCGCGTTGGAGCTGCCCTTGTGAAAGCTCGACAGGATGTAGCCGCCGGGAATGCAGCTGCCGCTGATCTTCTTTGGGTGCTTCTCGCAGCAACTGCACAAGCGCGTCACCGATTCATCCATTGTGAGATTTTATTTGCATGCCGCAAAACATTTTCGGCGCCGCGCTTCGCCGCGGCGCTGCGGCGCAGGCGCGCAGCCTGCGGCTACGCAGGCTCCTGAATCACGAAAGCGGGCTTCGCGGGCTTGCTTGCCGCAGGCTGCTTCTTCTTCTTGTTGCGCGCGCCAACCGCGTCTTCGGGCAGGCCGACGGGCAACGAAACTCCGGTGTGTGCGGCGGGCGTCGCGGGTTTTTCCGTTTCGTATTTTTGCGCGACGTTGTAGTACTTGCACTGCTCGTCGGGCGCCGTGTAGCAGTTCTCCAACAACATGTTCATGCTTATGGCTTTCAAACTTTTTTGAGGCTCCGGCGCGGTGCGCACGCGAATTTCCGCGCGCGGCACCGCGAACGGAGCGCAGCCGTGTACCGGCCGCCACGCTACGTCGAACAGCTCGCTGTACGCGCGCGTGCTCAGCGGCTCGCCGTTCCACTTTAGCAACGAAATGCAGTTGTCCTGCATTAACCGCGGCGACGTAGTCGCAGAAAGCACGTAGCGTCCGTCAGGGCTCAACTGCACGGCCGTGGCGCAGCTCAGCCGCGCGTGCCCCACGCACTCAAACGGCTGCGTCGCGGTCCAAATTTCGCAGTCGCCTGGCAAATTCCCTATGCCCCCGATCAAGCAGAACTGCGCGCCGACGGTCACGAAGTTGCGCCGCAGCACGCCGAGCGTGAACAGAAAGCGCCGCCGCGTTGGGTCGTACACATTGATTTTGCACGGGAACTCTTTCGCGCCGACCAGCAGCAGCTGCCCGGGCAGCCACGCGAACAGCCGCACATGGCCCTGGTTGGCCGGGGTCACGTTCGCATGGCGCACGAGCTCAGCGTCGACCACCGTCAGCGTCGCAAGCGCACTGCTGCCGTAGTAGTCCTTGTTCGTGTTGTCGACGCGCACAGAGTACTTGTACGCGCAGATCAGCGCGTCCGGCGCCCAAATTGCGTCGAGTTCGTCGATGCGTTGCTCGCTCGACTGGTACATCACGCGCTTCGTGCGGCGCTCGAGGTCCACGGCCAACAGTGTCACCTCGTTGCAGCGCTTCGCGAAGCAGAGCACGTACGCGGCGGCCAGCGTGCTCGCTGGCGCGAGGAACGCGCAGCTAAGTCCTGCGTGCTCCACGCTGAATTCCGGCGCATCCGCTGCGCCCCCGCAGAAGAAGTGCAACGCGCCGCTCGCGAGCGCAAGCACTCCGCTCGCACCGACCTGCTGCAGCAGCGGACAGTCCAGACTGCCGAAACGAAACCTGCGCCGGCAGATCACACTGCCCGAGCCGGGCCGCGCGTCCACCAAGCAGAAGTTCGGCGCGTTCGAATTCGAGTTCAGCGCAAACGCCAGCTGAGAACTGTCGCGCGTCCAAAGCGTGAGTTCCGGTTCGAAGTCCAGCGTTATGCTCCACTGCTCTTTGAAGCTCGGCAGCTCCAGCACGCACACCTGGTTCTGCGGCAACAGCACTGCCAGACGGCTGCCGTTCGGCGCGTAGTACGCCGCGATGACGTCGGGCTTCGTAAGCCGCAGCGCCAGCTGACCATCGGCCACGTCGAAAACCTCGAGACCTCCCCTGCTGACCGCGCTCAGCTGCATTGGTTCCGTCATCCCCGCGATTATTATGCAAAAAATAGAGCCCGAGAGATTTCGCTATTATAAATCGTCCGCGGTTGACTGCGCTCGCCCGCACCCGCGCCGCCATGCTCGATGACGCCCTGTCTGACTGCGTCGCGTTCCGAAATGATTTCGCCGCCGACTTCCTCGGCAGCGGCGTGCGCGCAGCTGATCGGCTCCGCGGCGAGACTGCGCAGCAACGCCACCAACACCACCTGCAGTGGCTCGCCGAGGCCGCAGCGCGCGCACACGTTGCGAAGGCGCGTGCGCACCCGCCAGCGCGCCGCCCGCTTGACCTGCGCTCCGCCGACCTCACCACGCTCGTCTCGCAGACGCACAAGTTCGACGTGCTACTCGTCAACCCGCCCTGGCGCGCTGGCGCTCCTGCCGGTGCGCGCAGCTGGAGCATCGCGGAGCTCAAAAAGCTGCCTGTGCCCAAGCTGCTCAGCCAACCCGGCGTCTTGTTCCTCCGCTGCGACGAACAAAACTTGCGCGACGCGCACTCGTTGCTCTCGCACTGGAACTGCGAATTAGTCGACACGCTCGTCTGTCTTCCCTCGGCCGCCGCCACGGGCGCCGGCGCGCCTCGCGCTGCCGCTGAGGCTGTCGCCTCTTTCTGCCAGACGCCCGCACTGCACGCCGCCGAACGCGAGACGCTGCGCTTGCGCCGCGCGCTTAACTGGCTCGAGACTCGCTGCGTCACGCCTGCTCCCCCGCCCGTCGCTCGCTCCGCGACCTACTGCCTCGTCGGCTTACGCGCCTGCAAACAGCCCGAAATGTTCGGCCTCGCGTTTCACACCGGCCTAGACATTAACGTGCTGCTCACGCCGCTTACCGCTGCGCGCGACCCCCTGCACGGCACGCTGCCGCTGCCCGAGGAGCTCTTCGCCGTCATCGGACGGCTCTGCAAAGGCCGCCGCAAGCTGCTGCTGTTCGCCGCGCCTGACTGTGCGCGCGCTGGCTGGCTCTCCGTTTCTGATGAAGCCGCGCCCGCGTCGCCGAGCTACGACACCTACGTCAGCTGGTTCCAGCCGCTGCACATAGAAAAAAAGAGTGATGGCAGCCTGAGCCGCCTCCAATTTTACACGAAAAACTCGTTTCCGCACGTCAAATCGTTTCGCGGCGGACGCTTCGAAGGCTCCGTGCCGCCCAAGCTCTTTAGCGCGCGGTCCTAGCCCGCGGGGCTCAGTCCGAATTTCACTTTCGTTTTGTCTATTCTTAATTCTTTTCTCGTTGACATGACTGTTGCCACGGCTCCCAAACTCAACGTCGACAGCACCATTCTGGGCTACCGCCGCAGCCGCACCGCGGTCCACCCGAATCAAGTCCTCATGCGCCTGCCGGACGTGCGCACCGCCGAAGACGCCAAGTTCTACGTCGGCAAGATTGTCGCCTATTACTACACTGCGCCCACCAAAGTGCGCGGCTCCCGCGTCCGCTGCGTCTGGGGCAAGGTCATTGGCGTGCACGGCAACTCAGGCGTCGTGCGCGCCCGCTTCAAACGCAACCTTTCCGGGAACTGCTGCGCGAAGAAGGCCAAGGTCTTCATGTACCCGTCGGCCATTTAAATTCTCAGTTCTGTGCCTGCATAGCTTTCACGACCGCCGCGCCTTTGCGCTGCTAATGCTGAATATGTAACCAAGCACGATGAGCATGGCCGCGCTACACGTAGATGCGCACGCTGTCCTCTTCGAGCACCTCTTGCACCGTGACCTCGTACTCTGCCTCAGCCTGATAGCGCTGTTCTGCCGCCTGCCATGCGGCGTACACCGGGCCGTAGCGCTGCAGCTCCTCGCGTGCCTCCTGCACCGCGCGCAGGAACTCCGCGTTCCGCGCGCAACGCTGCTGCTCCACGCTCTTCAGCGTTTCCGTCTTCAGCTGGATGTCCGACTTCTCGAACTCGCTGTGCAAGTCCTTCAACCCTCTCGCGAGACTCGCCATTTCCGCCTCCGACAAAATGATTTGCGGATGCGGCCGCCATTGAAAGGAGTGCATCTCGTCGACCTTCTGGTTGTACAACATCTGGCCCAAAAACGAGTAGATGTTGAACCCGCTTGATTCGCTGTACTTGTAAGAGTCCGTCGACCCGATCGGGTACGCTGTCACCGCCGCGAAGTAGCGGCCGCTCGCGTCCCACTGCACCGACGAAAGCCGGTTGCGTTCAAACTTGCTGATCACGGAAACTTTCAGTACCGCCACTTCGTCCTCTTCGCAGGACATCAACCAGATGTACCCCGTGCCATCGTCGATGCAACAACTGCTTACTACCAAGTGCGTGCCCAACGGCGACCAGCAGACATTGTTCATGTCCGAAGGCACTGGCTGTGTGTGACATTCTTGAATGCCTAAACGCGTCAGGGCGTAGAATACTAACGTCGCGTTGTTGTGCAGAATGCAGAAGCGGTTGCCGTAAGGACTCCAGTACACGCCCAACACGTAATGCTGACTCACCGTTGAATACACAGGGTAGTTGCCCTTACCAATCTTAATCACGTCCGTCTGATACTCAGTTACCTTGCCCTTTCCTAGAATTTTCTTCTGCACTCGCGTCGTCAGTGAGCAGAACCCGCACGTCGGGTGCCACTCAATGATGGCGTCGCCGTCTAAGTCGAAGATGTTTTTGAATACCAACACTTTCTGGCTCGGAAACTCGACGAGTGTCAACCGACTTGGCAGTGCCGGGTTTGACGACGGATTCCAGATTGCCAATATAGGGTCGGCGTGGTCCGCGCCGAGCTTCTGCCAACAGAATCGGTGGTTGGAGCACGGAATATAATCGAGCTTGTTTTCTTTGTCTATTATCCTCACGAGGCGAAAGTGCGGCGTTTCGTAAATGCTAATGCCCTTCGGGTGCTGCATTGCCAAGTAGCGACCGTCCGACGACCACGAAGAACACGGCCACGCGAAAGGCTTTTTCGGGCTCTTCATCGGATATTTAAACTCATGCAACACTTTGCCCGTCGCGACTGAGTGCGCTTTCAGCGGTTTGCCCTCGGTCTCGCCGTTCCAGGTCAAGATGTATTTCTCGTCGAAGGAATAAGCGCCAGTTGTGACATTCGAATGATTCAAACGACAAATTCGCTTGAAATCGTCCTCGCCCCATAAGCACACACCCGACTTGTGGACCGTGTTCAAATAAGTGCCGTTCGGACTCCAAAACGCCTTGCCCTTAGTCCACACGCCACCATCCGTTTTCACTGTCGAGTCGTCGTGCACCAACAACGCTTCGTTTGTCGTTCCTTGCAGGCGGAATATTTGCGTATTGGAGCCACTGCGGACTACAAACATCTCACACTCGTTATTGAACCAGTTGAGCAGCGCCGGGTAGTTAGGCAGTTTCTGCGTTGATGGAACAACCATTGGAAACGCATTGCAAATGCGCTTCATGGTTTCTGCTACATCAGAGTCGAACTCATCAATGTCCTTTAAAGACATGATGAACAACTCATTCTTAGTGTCTAGCCAAAGCGACGGCACAAACGTGGAAAGCTGCTCGACATCTTTCTCGTCAAGATTCTTGATATATGCAGCGTTTTCAATTGGAGCCTCGTTTTGTCTGAATACGCGTACACTCAAAGGCTTCGAAATCAACCCCGAGTCATACGCAATGGCATTTAGTCTACGCTCCAAAAATTTCTCCAGCTTCGCCTCTTTCCCTTTAGAGTCGGGAAGGTTAAATATAAAACCAGGCGCCGCGGTCATGAATTGCGCTGCTCTAAAGTCAATAAGAGATGTGCCGGATTTTAATTAAATAGTTCAAATTAGCATCGTTGTTTTTCTTCTCACGCCTCTCTTTTTTCAGTCTGAGCGCGCAGTCTACTATGCTGCACATGGCGCAAAAAACCTCTTTATACTCTAATTCTTTTCAATACTTTGTTTAAGTTGTTGCTCACCGCCGCGTCTCGATCTTCCTGATCTTCGACAACGTAGCAGTACGCGTACGCAATCAGAGAGTGAAGCTTTAAGTAAATGGGAATAGTAGCGATGTAGCTGCAGCCTAACGATATCATTATTTGCATTGTTGCTCGAATGTAACTATTGGCAGCGTTAAACACGTTGTCGATCTCGTTTTCGAGCAGCATGCTCCATAACGCTAACGACACCGCAAAAAAACACAGTCGCAGGTTCACAAGCTTGCACTGTAGCATCAGCACAAAGTTTAGGTATTGCACATTTTCCGGTTGCCGCAGCAAACGTTGAGCGCGTTTCGCGGATTGACAGATTGACGAGTCTGTCAACACAACGTCCGTCACTGCAATACCAGACAGTGGTGTTATGTCGTTCGAAAACAATTTGTTAAACCATCGGCTGCGCTTCGCAAACAACGGACGAAATAGAGCAGAGACTGCAAGAGACAGCATTTTGCTAACATAGAACATAGTTGAGCTTGCCAGATGCACTATGAGAAGAGAGCAAAGGGAACCACTCGTGTTAGTCTTGTCGTCTGGGTCGAGCTCGTAGAAACGCAATACAGATCTGTACGAAACTATCAATTGCAATAGCAAGCAGTTGCCGAGACTAATCAGCGAGAATAACGTCGTGCTCAAAGTTATAATCACCGCCTTAAAGTCTAAGGAAGCCCAAAGTGACACAGTAAACAACCCGTCGAACGGTTTCTTCGAGACTTCAGTGTGGAAGAAACTCAGACCGTTGTTCAAAAAATATGAGCAGGACGCGCAGCACAAAAAATAGCTGATGTAAGACAGCGCCACTTCGGAAATCACGATGTAGAGCTCGAGCTTTCGGCTGTCTGAAAAATAGTCTTTGTTGCTTTGCACAATTTTGTTCAGATTTTTGTAAGCTTTTCGGTGCGAAACCAATTTGCAGAAAGTGAAAACCAGAAAAGCTAACACAACAGTGTTGAGCAGAATGAGTAACACATCGAGTTTGTACACTTGATACGCAATGGTGGACAACAGAAACGAGATGCTCACCGAGTTGAAGCCATATACGGAAGTGGTCGAGCGCACAACGAACAACAGCTTTACGACCTG